AGTTCGAAGCTCAGCGCGTGGCTTTCGGCAAGGGCAAGGGTTCTGTGGCGGCGACGCCAGGCAAAGGCCCGGGCGGCCCCGCCACCGCAGCTTGACTAGCTGAGCCAGCTGCCGCCGAGGGCCGGCCAGCGCCACCTGCTGCGGCAGCGTCTCGGTCAGCCCCTGATCGAGATCCAGAGGGTAGTGCGCCACGCACAAGTACGTTCTTCTTCGCCGATGTCACTGCCATGGGGGACCAGTGCTGGCGATTCATTGAATCAGAGAAAAAATGCACATTACGACTTCTTCGGCATGGTGGGGACCCACGTCTCAGCAGCCAATCTGAAGAAATGTGATAACAAAGCACGCCAACAGCATCTTCGACTATTTGCAAGCAGAACCCGTCCTTCAGCCAAGATCGTCTCCGCGTCGCGCCAGCAGTCGTCGAGCGAGGGAGGCGAGTGGATACCAACTCGAGCCCATCTGCAGGTGCATCAGCTTCTTTCGAGTGACAGCGGGCGAGCAGTTCATGCGCGGGGGAAAGCTTGCTGGGGCGGTTTCGTTCCTACGCTCATTCACTTCCGAGGCTTTTCTGTTGCGGTGATTTGTTTCTACGCGCCTCCTTCGGTCGGCATGTCGGGAGTAAGCGTCGCCCGATTCCGCCACCTCGGAACGCTATTGACATCGCTGCAGGTACCCTGGGTGGTAGCAGGGGGTTTCAACATGTCACTCCAATATCTAGGGCGCTCGGGATTTATAGATTATGTAGGGGGGCAAGTTATTCAGGCCCCGATAGAAACCGCGTGTGATTCTGGCCGCCAGGGTATTCATATTGACAATTCGCCGTGTAGTCATTCGGCCAGGGCTTACGCGAAACAAGTTTCACTCGTTTTTGATGTTCCGTGGAAGCCTCATGTAGGGCTGGTCGTGCAGTTTCACTCGCCAGGGTCCCAGCTGGCAACCCGAATGCTGTCTTTGCCAGGGAAGCCCCCGCAGGTAGCTCGACCCAGAGCTGACGCAACCCCTGGTTCAAAGTCGCCTCAGGCCAGCGTAGCTAAGCAGGCGCACGCGCGCCAGCAGAGGAGCTCCATTTACAATTCGATGTTTGGGGGCCTCCTGGAACCTGCTCCGTCAGATGAGCCCCCCGAGAGCTCCCCAGTCGTTTTTCTTGGTCGTTCTAGGGTGCTCCCGGCGGCGAGGGCGAAGAAGACCCCGACGTGTGGCCAGATGGCGATTGGCCATGGGGAGGAAACCCTCCTTCGCCGCGTGCTTTCACCGCCCCGCCCCCGTGCCAGCTCTGGCGAGCCCTTGGGCCCCCCCCGAGTCCAAGTTATAATATTCCCGTGGAGCTTTGGAATGAAATTCGTGCTCGGGCCGGGTTCGCCCCCAGTTCCGTCTGTGAAATGCATGGCCGCATCGCCTCGTCCGTTTGTTATCGTTTTGGCTCAAGCAATGTAGCGGCCCTCGCGGGCCTGCGCGCTTCCTGGGTCACGTCAGTGGAAGTTGTGATGTGTGCCCGCCACACTTGCGATATTCCATCTGGCCCCAGTCGCGCGCAGGGCCATGGGTTTCGCGTCGGAGAAGTTTACCCGGCAAGTCATTCGAGGCTCCAGCCCTCTCAGGACACTCTGGCCAACTGGTGGGCCCGTCTCGCCACAGTGGCGGCATCCATATCAAGACATCGCTCCAGAGCAAACGGTAGCAAGCAGATGCAGTCTCTCCAGGATTCCTCGGTCAAGCTACTGGGTGATGCGTCTGGGCAGGCCGAGCAGGTTCTTCGGCATCAGGAGCCAACCGTGACCGCCTTGATAAAATATTTGAGGACTTTGAGTGGTTATTCAGATCAAGATCTCGGTGATATAGAAGGATTGGTAATCAAATGCAGTAAGGGGGCACAGGGGAATGCCCTCAAAGCCCCCCTTCAATCGTTGAAGCTCTTGGCGCACATCACCGCAGCATTCGCGACGAACCTCTGGAGCATCAGGAGTTCATAATTTCTGACGAGGCGTTGTGCAACCCGTCGGATATCATGGACAGCAAGAGGGGGCATTGGGAGAACATGTGGTGCCCAGAGATCAAAGATTTCACAGAGTTGGACAATGCGTTCGCTGAGGTTCGCCAGGCTGCTGAGGATGGCCCCTCTGCAGATCTCGCGCCCGAGCGCGCGGGGAAGGCTGCGAGGCGAATGCGACCGAAGCTGGGTCAAGGAGTTGGTCGATTTTTCACCCCTGGATGTTGAGCTGTTTCCAGGCCCAGCACTTTGGGAACTCACCGACATCTTCGACTCGATGGAGTCTTCGTTAGCCTGGCCAGCCCAAACCCAGCTCGTCATAGGCCACATGATGCCGAATTACAAGGGCACTGGTGATCGTGCCATCGGTATTCTTACCATGTTTGCTCGCATCTGGTCGATGTGTCGAGAAACAGAGGTGGCCGAGTGGGAAGATCAGAATGCCCCAGCTTGGGGCGCGGCGGTTGTTGGGGGCGCCGCGTTCCGAGAGGCATTCATACGAGTGCTAGA